CACAGCACTGCCCAGGACCACAGCACTGCCCAGGACCACAGCACTGCCCAGGACCACAGCACTGCCCAGGCACACAGCACTGACCGAGCACACAGAACTGCCCAGGCACACAGCTGCAAAGGCTGTTCCTTGCTTGTCAGTGTAAATATCCCTAAGAGGTGACTGATGGGAAGAAGGTGGAAAAACGTGGCACTCACTCTGGCTGCAGTGACTCTGTTCTAAAGAAGGAGGCTTGTCTTGGGCCCTGACAGGATGAGAGGCTCCAGGGTCACAGTCTTGTGCAAAAACTGTGTGGAAGAAAAAGGGAAGCCTCATCCCATGGCCTAGGGTGCAGTCTGCTGTGAATGGCATGATGGGCTCCGGACAGTGTCCTGCAGTGGAGAGTGGGATGAGATTGGGGGCGCGTTTGTGTTGTCTTTTATACTCTATGAAGTCTTAAAACCAGGAGCCGTGATCTCATATCTGATAGCTTAAAAGATGAAAATATTTAATGCAAATACAGTTTCCCCCCCGAGACAGGGTTCTCAGTTCCTGGCTGTCCTGGAACTCACTCTGTAGCCCAGGCTGACCTTGAACTCAGAGACACCCCTACCTCTGCCTCCCAAGTGCTGGGATCAAAGGTGTGCACCACCATCGCTCAGCAAAAAGTACATAAATATTCATGCATACAAGATGGACATGGAGGCTCATACTAGCATTAGAGAAACTAAGGAAAGATTGCCAGTTCAAGGCCATCCTGGGCAACATAGAAGGACCCTTTTCAAATAAAGAATATTTATACTCTCAATCCTTTTTTTCCCCCTGCACAAATGTGTGTGATATGTATCTGTATGCATGTTCACATATGCAGGCACATGTGTGTGTAGGATCTGGCATCTTCATGGATTGATCTCCACTTTGTTTACTGAGGCAGGGCCTCTCACTGAACCCGGAACTCACCTATTCAGCTAGTTTAGGTAGCAGGATTGCCCTGGTTCCCTCTCTCTCCTGTTCCCAAGTGCTGAGATTAGAGGGGGGCCTCCACACCCACTGGCTTTTCTGTGCATGCTGGAGACTTGAATACCAGTTCTCATGTTCATACACTAAGGACTTTTCCAT